TCTCTCGCTAAAAACTAAAATATTTTTCTTCTTGCAAATCAGATTTTTATCAAAACAAAATTGGAAACGAGCCAAAACTTGGAACGATGTTGATTTTACAAAAATTCAAATGAACTTTTCACTTTTTTCTCTCTATAGTCTCTTTCTCTTTCTCTTCTCTTCTCTCTTATTTTATCATTTTATCATCTCCTTTCTCTCTATTTCAGTCCATCCATTACGTGGAAGTTCAATTGACATTCATCCAAATGCTCGATGGCAACAGAATGGTATCACTGTCGCTGGAGGAAATGGACAAGGCAATGAAATCAATCAATTCTCAAGTCCACGTGGTTTATATGTTGATGATGATCAAACAGTTTATGTCGCTGATAGAGGGAATGATCGTATTATGGAATGGAAATGGGGTGCAACAAGTGGCCAAGTGGTTGCAGGTGGAAATGACGAAGGAAGTGGAACTCATCAATTGGATCACCCAAGTGATGTGATTGTCGACAAAGAGACAGATAGTCTCGTCATCTGTGATAGTGCGAATAAAAGAGTGGTTCGATGGCCTCGTCGAAATCGGACAAGTGGAGAAACAATCATCTCCAACAGCAATTGTTGGGGTTTGACAATAGACGAGAATGGATATCTCTATGTCGTTGACACTGGAAAAGGTGAAGTGAGACGATATCGAAGAGGAGAATCTCAAGGAATAGTGGTTGCAGGTGGTAATGGATATGGAGATGATCTCAATCAACTCTATTTTCCACAATACATATTCGTTGATCGAGATCATTCAGTATATGTGTCTGAATGGCACAATCATCGTGTGACGAAATGGATGGAAGGTGCAAAACAAGGCATTGTCGTGGCTGGTGGTCAAGGAGCAGGAGATGGTCTTACACAATTGTCATATCCTGAAGGAGTCGTTGTTGATCAATTGGGTACTGTCTATGTGGCTGATCGAGGGAGTGGAAGTATCAAACGTTGGCCCAAAGGAGCCACACAGGGAAACGTCATCGTTGGTGGAAACGGTCAAGGAGAACAATCGAACCAACTCAGTTTGCCCAACGGTTTGTCATTCGATCGACATGGCAATCTCTATGTCATCGACTTTGGATATAGTAGAGTACAAAAATTCAACATCGAATCCAATAAGTGAAGGACTAGGAAGTCAAAAATATTTGTTTCTATATTGTAAACCTCCTAACCACTGTATACCGGTAAGCGCCACCGTAATTTTTGGATTCCTTGAAAAATTATAATAAAACATACCCCACTTAAAAACAAAGTATCTGACCAAAGGGTGTGGGTGTAAATCAATCAGAAGACAGACCGATCTATATCCCTCTGATACAAATCAATTTGCTAGTCTCAACTCTTGCTTTTCGGCAACCGATGATATCGGAATTATTTTCAAAGGTGAAAATTTTGTGCTTAATCAAATAATAAATAGAAATGCAGAGTTTGTTTTCGCCGACGCGTTTCGTGTTTATTTTATTTCAATAGCAAAACACTCATCAAGGCTCTGCATTACAATGAAAAGCACATACGTAAAGACAAAATAGAAA